AGACATCCTTGACTTTATGCTGACTGAAATAAGCCACTTGTGAAAGACAATGTCTTAAATTTCCACTTACATGGGGTATCTGAAGCAGTCACATTTACAGAAACAGAAAGAAGAATGGTAGCTGTCAGAGGCTGACAGGAGGAGGAAATGGAGAGTTGTTCACTCGGTATAGATTTTCAATTTTGCAAGGTGAAAAAGAGTGAGAGATTTGTTGCACAAGAATACATACACAATACTGATCTGTAGACTGGTTAATGGTTCATGATGGTAAATTTAACATTATGTGTTTTTAGTATAAGTAAATACAGAATTTTTTCCCTTGAGGAAGAGTGGCCCTGAGCAAACGCCTGTGCCTAAATCCCTCTATTTTACATGTGGGCACCTCCACAGCATGGTTTGATGAGTGGTGTAGGTCTGCTCCCAGGAACTAAACTCATGAACTCAGGCAGCCGAAGTGGAGTGTGCCAAATTTATGCACTATGCCACCAGGTTGGCCCCTAAATAAAGTTTTTTCAAAGGGGAAATTTGAGATTAAGGATTTTTGGGCTTTTGAGAACTTCCTGCCTTAACAGGTGACAACTCCTCCTCATCCTCCCCTCCCCCATCCCCCCACTATTACACTTTTTATCTCTATGATTTTGACTAAGTACCTCATATAAGTGGAATCATACAGTATTTGTCTTTTTGTGACTGGATTATTTCACTTAGCCTAATGTCCTCAAGGTTAATTCACATTGTAGCATATTGCAGAATTATTATCCATTTTAAGGCTGAATAATATTCCATTGAATGGATCTACCACCTTTGGCCTATCCAGTCATCCATCGAGGGACACTTGAGTTGCTTTTACATTTTAGATATTGTGAATGATGCTGCCATGAATATGGGTTTACAAACAACTCTTTGAGTTCCTGCTCTCAAAACTATCCAGTATATATACCCAGAAGTGCAATTTCTGGGCCATATCATATTTCCGATGTTTAATTTTTTGAGAAACAATTGTATTATTTTCCACAGGAGCTGTACCATTTTACATTCCCATCAACAATACACAAGGGTTCCTATCTCTCCACATTCCTGAATGCCTGGGAGGTTGAGGAAAGAAGTTCCCAGAATCTCTCACAGCAGATTCATGTTTGGAACAGGAAAGCGGTTCTTGTGAGATGCACTTGGAGGCTATCCTGGCACTCAGGGATGTACAGCCAGTTAGCCTCTAGCTTGTCTCTACCAAGAGGGTGCAGAGGTGCTGTGGCACCAGCGCAGTGTCTTGATTTCCCAGGTTTTTCATCCAGGAAGTACAGAGAGCTCCCGTAGTGAGCTGAACCTCCAATCCTGCCCTCGGAGATCTTCTGGAAGCTGCAACTAGAGTTTCCAAATATATAAGTCAAAATAAAATTAAGATAAATAATGAATACATCTCTAAAAAAGGGAGGTAGGTCATGAGTGGACTGGTGGTGATACTGGATTGTGAGCAAAGGATTATGATTTTTCAATTCTATGCTCCTGATGTCAAAAAAGCAAACAGAGAAAAAAAAATGAGTCCCCATTATGTCATATGGACAAAAACCTAAGGTGGTTGGGCAACCAGGAAGGATCTTAATCAAGTGTGTAAGGCTTTCCCAGAGGGGCATATGGTTCTGATGTGAATGACCTATAGCCCCAAGGAGATTAATACTGGTAGTACAGTGAATTGTAGCCAGAAAGATGAAACTATGATTCTTTTCTGATATTCACACTGTGAGCAAAACAAGTCCTGCCTCCCTCTTATTGGATGCTCTCTTTCTTTGATTTGTGACAACACTGGACTTGGCCGTGATAAGCCCAGTGTCTCTGTGTGTTCTGTTCAGAGTGATTGCAGGAAGGTCCTGGCTTCTCCTGTCTGGGCCAAACTGAGATGTGTGCCAAACAGCAGCAGCTCCTCTGGATGGAACTAAAGTCATCTTTGAGTAACATGCTCTGAGGCTACTTGCTGATTTTTCACTTTCAGGCATTATCTAAGGTCTTCCCTCTTGAAAGACAAGGATTCAGCTACTTTCTTCCATCATTACCGTAACAGACTCCTTTCCCACTCCCATCTCTCCCATTTTTTCCTAACACCAAAACTCAGTGTGGACTTTATGATGTCTCTTAATGCTATTCATATTTGAGCCAACTAAGTGTGATTTCTTCATTTCAGCCTTGGATGGGGAGTCCAAAATTAGAATCTCTGAAGTACATCAGGCATGGAGTACATTTCCTCTATGAGCTATGGATGTGAGGGGTGGCTGTGGGCAGTTAGAGACACATAATGACATAAATAGAGTATAAAAAAACAAACTCCACATCTCTCTTCACAGCCTTCCAGGTTACTTTGTGAAGGTGCCACTCTCTGGCGGCCAAACCTCCAAGTGCCCATCCCAATAGGATCAAACTGTTTTCCCAAGGGAGCCCATCCACCCATTGTCACTCCCAGGGTCAGAATCAGATACATAAATTGTAGGACTCAGTATAAATTCAAAATCATGGCTCCTTGTCCAAAAATAATGAAAAGTTTCAAGATGACAAAAGCAGAGCATTAAACCTACCATAGGGCCTACTCATTGATAGTATACATCACCGAGTAGAGTGTATGTACACAGAGCCCATGAAGCCAGCCCTACCTAGCAAAGCAAATGTGTTCATCCTCCAAGTCAATTCCATATCAACTCAACTCATAAAAACCCTGCAGACCTACAAATCATATCATGCTTAATGGTGAAAACTAGAAGCTTTCCTGCTAATTACAAACAAGAAATGGCAAATATTCTGAATGCCTTAGTAAGACAGATATGCACCAAAGGGTAGAAGTGGATGCCAAAGGAAATTGATGACAAAGAAAATGACATCAGTGTTGACCATGACATCAGAAATAGGGTCAAGTGTGAGAGAGTTCCATGGGCTGTAAGGGTACACACATGTGTGACCATTCATTGATCTGCTACAACTAGGAAGGTTTTAGGTTCCAATAGTCTCTGGCATGCTGGACAACCCTCTGGGGAACAGGACAAGTTCTTGCACATTTACCTCCATCCAGCACACATTAGAAGGGTGAAAGGTGCTTGTGGAGCCTCTGGCAGGACCTTAGGTGAGAATTCTATGCAGACTCCTAGAGTTTTGGAACAATTCCATGCCTTCTGAAGCAATAGAAAAACATCTCCTGACCTCCTCCTAGGTCTTGGAAGAGTTAGAGTGTCAGAACATGTGAAGAATGTGACCAGGGAGCCAGAACTCCTCATCATGATCTGGGTTCTATCACACCCACCGACATAAAGCCAGGTGGGGAGAGAAGATGTATCAAAAATGGACAGGTACCTATACCTTCATGGCACCGACCACTCTTCACTGACAACTGTGACATAGTTCTCGTCTATGCACTAGAGTGAAGGTCAGTCTGACTAGTCAGCAAAGAAGGAAAAGACTGCATACATTCCAACTTCATTCTCACCTCAAACATCACCCCCAAATATGCCCTCCCCTGGGTGTCCCCAGGCTCCTATTCATGCTTACTCACTCACACAAAAGTCCCCTGGGGACATGGCTCACTTGTTGACTCAACTGAAGTGGGCTCAGGGGACAAGGGAGGCATCTGGCTTTTCTAAGTGCTCCCAGCCTTTAAGAGCAACCTGAATATGACTCACCTGGTCAGAACCAGAGACTGGAAAAGGCTGGCCCTGAATTTGCTCCCCACTGTCACCCCTGCCTTGCCTTCCACACTTTCCCCCAGGCTTCATCCCAGATCCCTTTTCTAGTCTGACTACCCATGCACAAACTCACTTTCCACTTCATTTCCTAAATGCCCTCATCTCAAGTCTTCTGCATCCATGGTGTCCACTGTTGTTCAATCCTTCATTACTCTCCAGACTCCTAGACTCCACTGGATGCTCATTTCCCTCTCTCCTTAATTACTCTCCAGACTCCTAGACTCCACTGCATGCTCATTTCCCTCTCCCCCTTGTCCTCTGTCCCATGTCCCTTCAGACTGTGCATATGGCACTCCATCTTGTTCTGTGTGAGTGCACTAATCAGAGTCTCCAAGAGTATTCTTCTTTCCCCTCAATCCTATGTCTCACCCCTCATGTCCCTCCATATCTGGAAGGACGGCACCCCAACTTTCCTGCAACAGCTCCAGTTGTTCCTCCTTCAACATATATGTCTGCCCTGCACTCAGAATCCTCATGTTATCCTGGAGCGCTCCAAAAGGAGCCTCCCTATATGGCCCCACTACATGCTCTTAATCCTAAATCATGAACCAGGATCACCTCAAAGAAGAGTGTTCTTGATCATAAAGCAAGGCTGCTCTTACTCCATTTGCCCTGATTAATTGCACAGGTGTTATGGAGTTGCACACTCACCACATAGTTTCCTCTGATGCAGTATTTCCTAAGGAACCTCACATGGCACTTTTAACAGCTTCTTGACATTAAGAACCTTAGACATCAGAACTCACCTGCAGTCTCTATAGCTTTGAGTGATGTCTTCTCTTCTCCAGATCCCCAAAACACCCATCATGTGAACCTTGCTCATTAAAGTGTGGGTCATATCTGATCACATGGGCATCATTTTCTACTAGGACATTTGAGTCAGAGCAGAGATTCTACTAGGAATTTTTCCAATGATATCCTAGTAACAAGGAGGACAGAGTCATACTGTACCTACACAAATAACGCTACTGCCATGAAAATAAGGATACTCAGGAAGACGTTAGGAATACTTTGAGAGGAATCAGATGGGGAGAAAAAGATCAGTATTGATACCCACATGGATATCCCCTGTCCAATCGTGTGCTCAATAACATCATCCAGATGCCATCCTTACCTCCCCCTGGTGGTGGGATAGAGCTGTGATTCCTGAGAGCTTATTATGGGCTCCCACAGGCACAAGCACTGCCTGGCATTCCACTGTGGAGATGGTGTAACTCAGACCAAGAGGACCTAGGATCTGGAGTGGAAAGTGACCTCAAGCCAACATAATGACAAAGTCAGTTAAGATTGTTGAGCATTTATTGATTGAATGCAAGTCTTCTAAGGAATTTCCACCTTCATAATTGACTATTACAACAACTCTACTGAGAAGTGCCTCAGAATCATCATCTTACAGGTAAGAAAAAAATCTTTTCAGAGTTTAATAAGCTAGAGGAGGATAAGAGAGCCAGAAGGTCAGACTCATATTTCACATGCAGCATGAGGAGGTCACTTTGGCTGGAGCTGACTGGGTTGCAGACATCACACTGATAAGCTTGGCATCCTCCCTCCCAATGGGGTGTATGGTGATGGTTCTATTGTCCTTGGATAGTGTCTTCCTTTCTGTGAGCTGCAGACTCTGGTCATGGAAGAACCAAGGATGGAGATCTCAGAGTCATTTGTGCAGCTGGTCAGGACAACAAGCTTCTTATCTGGCATTTTTATGTATTATGGTGACTCTAATGGAGGGCTTTGACACAGGCTCTGTGGAGAAACAGAAGAGATGAGTTACAGAGAGTGGGCCTGGGGCATGGGGCAATGCTCTTTCCTCAGAGATCTCAGCCACTCTGTATAGGTGACCCAAAGGATGGCCCTGACCCCTGCAAAAGGATGAGTGCCTTTGTTCAAGTGATGATCTGTAAGAAGGGGGCACCATCTCCCCTTTTGATTCCTATATCATCACAGGATGACTTTGATCGGTCCCCCTGGACATCTCTGTAGTATCAGCACCAGGAACCTATTCTCTTCCAATGGATCCTATGACATCATGACCAGGACTAATTTTTCTCTCATGAAATTTGATTGATTTTTCCAATGAATTTCTTTGAGTTCAGAAGAGATCAGGCCACACCCCCTATGTACCCTTCTGTGTGTATTGGAGTAGGCAATCTTGCCAGGTGTGTCAACCTCTGGGTCCAAAAGAATGTTGCATAAAGTTAGAAGGCATGTCCTTATTGTTAAATAATTTATTAGGGAATGAGGATGGCCCTGACCAATCTTCACAACCTTAGGACCAGGAGAGCTTCTAATCGAAAGGATTTGTCACTCTGAGGAGGGCTTCTAATTCCTGGCCTGTGAAGTGAACCACAGTGAAGAAGCATTCTAGAGAGCAGTGGTTAGGGTTTTAAGAAAAGACAAGGACTGTTAGGAAGAGATGGAAACTACTCAAGATGACAACAGTCATAAGTAAAAAGTCTACAGCTAACATCATACTCAAAGGTGAAACACAGAAGTGTTTCCCCTCAGATCATGAACAAGAAAAGGATGCTACTTTCACCACTCATTCAACATAGTGTAGGAGTCCTAGCCACAACAATGAGGCAAGAAGAAGAAATAAAAGGCATCAAAATTGGAAAGGAGGAGGGAAATGATCTATATACCAGAAGACATAATCTTATATGTAGAAAACCCTAAAAATGACACACATATACACACAAAAAAACTGTTGAACTAATACGCAAATTCAGCAAAGTTGCAGGAAACAAAATCAACATTCAAAATCATTACATTTATATGCAATAACAATGAACAATCCAAAAAAGAAATGAAGAAAACAGTTTAACTTTAAATAGCATCAAAACCTATGAAATACTTAGGAATAAACTTATCCAAGGAGGTGAAAGATGTGCATACTGAGAACTACCAAACGTTCTGAAAGAACTTAAAGAAGACACAAATAATGGAAAGACATCCATGTTCATGGAAGGGAAGGATTAATATTGTTAAGATGGCAATATATACCAAACTATATACATATTTCATATAATCCTTACCAAAATCAAATGAAATCTTTGCAGTAATAGAAAATCTAACCTCAAATACAAGGGGACCCAAATAGTTAAAACAATCTTTATAAAGGAGAACAAAATTGGAGGACTCACACTTCCTGACTTCAAAACTTTCCAGAGAGCTAAAGAATCAAATAGGGTGGCAGTGACATTAAGACAGACATATAGGGTCTCAAATACAACAGAGATCCAGAAAGAAATCCTCTATCATGTGATCGAGTGATTTTGAGCAAGATGCCAAGAACATCCAATGCAGAAAGAACAGTCTTTTCAACAAACAGTTTAGAAACTTGGATCTCCACAAGCAGAAGAAGGAGATTGGACTGCTGCCTTACACCATATACGAAACTGAACTCAAAATGGATCAAACCCTAAAATGATACCTAAAACTATAAAACTCTGAGAAGAAAATATAGGGAGAAAGCTTCCTGACATTGGATTTGGCAGTGATTTCTTTAATATGACACTGAGAACATAAGAAACAAAAGAGAAAACTAGATAAATTGGACTTTGTCAAAATGAAAGCCTTCAGTTCATTAAAAGACACAATCAACACAGTAAAAGTGTCCTATGCAATGGGAGAAAATAATTAGCTACTTATATATCAATAAGGGGTCAATATCCAGAGTATAGAAAAAAACTGCTAAACACAACAACAACAAGAAAACCAAATGATGTTATTGAAATATCAGCAAATGAGAGTTGGCATCTCTCACCACTCAGCCAACCTGAGTCCTTCAAAGAATAAGGCACGTTTGTGGACCTCACGAAAAATGCCTGAGGATCTGAGCTCTCAGAGAATGTAAGGCCACCTGCTCTATGTCTGGGAGAAAGCACAGATTTCTCACGTGTCAATATGTTAGCAGGGTTTGGTTTTGAAAAGACAAAAGAGTAGAATCAGAGACAATCGGCCACCCAATACCACCCTCTGTTCCTCTCCTGGTTCTTCACTGACCAGCTGATTGCCTGACCAACCAAGGATGATTCCTTCCCACTACACACTTCTCCTTCACCCAGTGAGGTGTGTTTTCTTGGAGGCACCATATTCAAGGTTCTCCTAGAGATGGATAAGGGTGGCTCTGTGGTTTGAGAGTAAATAACACATAGGACCAGGAGCAAGTAAAGCAGTCAGGTGAGTATTCAGGACTTGAGGCAAGGATGTTGATCAGATCTTCCCAGGTGACTGTAACTACCATGAGGCAGTGACCCAATAAATAATACAGAGAATCAAAAAAAATGCTCCAGAAAAGAATGAGGGGACAGTCAGATGCTACCTGGCTTTGGCAGCAGAACCTGATCTCTGCCCGTGGTCTTTAATGTCTCTTCTGTCTCTGAACTTCCTGCAGATCTGGCCCTCACGAACCCTCTGTGTTTATTGGTTATGAGATAGAAATTTGAGCAGAAGTTAAAATTCTTGCATATGTGAAAGTTATGATTAATACCCTGGGCTCTCAGCCCAACTGCGGGAAGGAATCTTTCTCTAGACAGCAGTAAAAGACCTGAGACATAGGCCTCAGCCCTTGCAAGGTGAGAGAATCTATCCTCTGTGGACAAAAGTCCAAGGACTCTGCATCCAGATTCCAGTCTCTGCAGAAAATTTAGATTATTCTTTCCTCCATTTACCATTTATTCCTTCACCCTTCATCGAAAGCAATTGAGAATTAGTTACATCTGGGCCCCGGGCTGGCTGCAGATGTAGAGCAGAGAATGAGACTACAAAGTCCTTTCCTTATCTTCCAGTGGGAGTGACCCCAACACATTAGGAAACAAATAAGTGATTTCAAGTTCAGTGCAGGGAGCTTGGACCAGACACCTGAGGGGGCGGCCTGGGCATTCCCTGCACTGGCTCTGATTCTTGATTAGGTAATTTGGTTCTAGACTGAACTTGGATTAAATTTCTACTTGCTGTCACTCCCCAGACCAGAATCTCTCCCTCTGAGCTAGAGCCACCTAAAAAGGAAGGATCTGAACCCACAGCTGGTCTCGGGGCCCACAGACACCTAATAACATCCCCCAGTGGAGGAGAGGACGGTACTGTGGCTGTACAAAGACCCCATGTGACTCCTGATCTGTATGACACTGTTTCACTTACTTTTATCTCCCTGTACCTCACTTTCCCCTCAGTGAAGTAGAATAAAGGTTTGACTACCAGGCAGTCAATGAATTAACCTTAAAAACATCTCAGGAGCTAAACTAAATCTTCCTAGAGAGGAGCTGCCCAAATAAATGGCGTCCGTTATTGTTTGATTCCGAGAGACAGTGCTACTAATCCTGATTCCTGGCAAATAAGGAGCTGCCAGCAGCATCTTCCCAGCTCTGTTCTTCCCCTGGGGACACTGACTCTTCCTTGTAGTGTCCTAAATTCCCCAAGGCAGTTGGCTAATGATCTGGGGGCCTTGTCCCTCTGTGCTCTCCATGCTGAATCTCAGGTCAAGGTTCAGGCGCTGCTCCTGCTTAAATGTGGCTCTCGGGGCTGAGACCTGGATGGTAACAAGCTCAGGGGCTTTGGAAGTCAGGCTGCCAGAAAATCATTGCTCCCAGTCGGCCTTGCCCAGGATACCAAAATCCAACCCTGCCACAGGCTCCCCAGAGTCACTGGAGTCGGGAACCTGGGACAGGGCTCTGGGTAGGGTTGTCCGTGGCTGGACTTTTCTGTGAGGATCCCAGGGATCCTCAAGCCCTGCAGGATCTTTCTCAGTGTCATGGTCTCAGGGAGGAGCCAGAGGGCTGGACCAAGACTGGTCTCCTTCTGCTGGGTTATTCCCATCAGACTGGTCCTTATCTCCACAGGGAAAGTCTGAACAGTCTGATTCCCAAAAATGAATTCCCGTCTTTTGAAGTTCATCTCCCCTGTTTGTGTCCTGCACTAAATGCTCAAATCCCAACATGGGACATAATGCAGAGGGATATTTAGGCACAGTCCAGGCCAGTAAGTTCTCTGTGTGAAGTAGAATTCACCCCATCCAACACCCAGAGATCAGAGAGGAGTCACTCACTCCAGTATACGTGGAGCTGTCCAATTGCTACTTCATATCGCAGACGTCTCTTTATGACAAACACCGTGTAGTTTCCTGTGTACTCCACGGTGACTTTCTGAAACAGCATGGATCCATTGGGGTATACTGTCTCTCGACCAGTGAATGCAGGCCCTGGGGTCATTACTTTTCTGTTTGTATCATAATATGCAATTTTTTGTTTGCGAGCTGGTCCATAGCCTTTGTACCAGGTATAGCCTATAACATTCCTAGGTAGATTTTGGACAACTAGAGTAACATTCTCTCCTGGAGTAACTTTGGGCGGCACCGATACAATAGTGACTTTGGCAGTGGTGAGCGAGTTCCAGAAGGTTAAGATTGAGACTAGGAGGAAGAGAGAGAGATCAATCAATATTTTGATTTATTTATTGGGATGGAAAGATGAAGCCCTGTGTCCTGAGGACGTTTCTTCTTCTCTTAGACTCGGAGTGTGTGTGTGTGTGTGTGTGTGTGTGTGTCTACTGGTCAAGTTCACCAGTGTGCACCATTGCTTCAGCCCCTGTGAACTTATTTCCTCTGTTCCCAATACTCTTACCCAGATGTCTGCCTGGCTCACTCCTTCACTGCCCTCAGCACCCTGCTTGCTTTCAGAGGTGTCCTTGGGAGATGCCTTCCCTGACCATCTGTTCTGAAGACCCTCCATCTTCACTTTCTCACCTTTCCCTGCTCTCTTCCCTTCATGACATTGTCAGTCCCTGGCATCACATTCTAGATCTCTCGATTATCTCTCCTCATCCCCAAAGAATGTGAGCTCCTGAAGGCAGGGACTTGTCTGAACTTATTGTTCCCCTCATGCCAAGAAAAGACTGCAAATCCCTGTGGATGAATGAATGAGTGTTCCCAGGGCCCTCAACATCCTGGTATTAATTTGCCTATTTCTAAGGGTAGTAGAGAAGGACAGTGTTTAGTGAGCCTAGTTAAGTATTTAATGGTGTCATTCTCAAATAAATTATTACCATCAATTTTCAAAAATTATTGGTCTGTAATAACTAACTTAGAACGGTAGAGTAATTGAGATATTCCTGCCCCTCACCACTTCCAGATCATGAAATTGATCTGTTGCTGAATCCCACCCCCTCATCCACCCCCCCCCCACCCTGCTCAATCTTACTCTGCTCCTGTGTCCTCTCACATCATGTCCAAACAGAACTCTTCTAGCCCCTCTCCAAGCCTTGTTCCACTTAGGAGAACCCAACAGTCTCTGTCCTCCCATCTCCATACCACTCTCAGGGAATAATCCCCTCTTACCTGCCAGCAAGAGCCCTTGCCAGGGGACATTCTGTCTATGGGCAGGGGCTGAGAGGGATTGCATGGTGTCTGCTGCCTGCTCTGTTCCTCCCTTTGTGTGAAGAGCTTGGGCTCCAGAGAAGCTCAGAAGTACTGCTGCCCACCGGCATAAGCTCTGCTGTGCCTCCTCCCTCTGTACTGTGCCTCTTTTTGGGGCAGGAGTGCTTTGCCAGGTCATGAGGGCAGGGGTGGAGTCTCTTCCCAGGACACTCCTACTCCGTCCCCTCATTCCTGCTTCCCTTGTCCCCTGTTTCTCTTGCTCTTCTATCTGTATTCCTGTTTCCTGGGAACTGCTGACTCCTATGCCTTCTTCAACAGGGATTTTCCAAACCACCATCCCCACCACACCACAAAAACACACATCCTTGTTTGGACAAGCACAAATCTAGGGCATCATGTCCTGGGCTGTCTCCATAGCATCAGGTCAGGACTCATAGTCACTCTTCCTCTCTCTCATCCCCTTCTTCCTTTTCCCTTAAGAGGTGGAGCTCAGAGGCTACAGCAGGAACTCTTGGTCTAGGGGTGTCACCCCCATTATGCATTGGAATCACCTGAGGAACTTGATAAAGATTGTGATTGTCCAGGTGACACCTTAGAAATGCTACTTTAGCAGCTGTCCAGGTTTGTGGGTATTCAACTTCAGGGGGGTAGGACAGTCTGTCCCCTTCTCCTGTTCAGAGTCACAATTATCTAACACAATGCAGATTCTTAGCAGGCAGGTGTGGAGTTAACCCGAGAGTTTACATCTAATAAGCTCTCAGGTGATGCTGATCACACTGGCCTGTGGAGCACATTTTCAATAGCAAGGGTGGTGGGAAACTCTGTCCCCTGCGAAGATGACCTGTCTTCCCCCCAGCATTGGCCACTGCTGTGTCCTGTCCTTAGGTCTGTCAGCACTTCACTCACAGACACTGAGGATTCCCCAAACCTAGGGAATTACTTCTGTTTGTGACAAAGAAACCTAGCTGGGTACCAGGGTCTTTGCAGTGTCCTCAAATACTCTGGGAAGCTTGTATTTACTCTCAGCAGGAAGATCACAGAGATGACTCCGGGGGTGAGGAAAGGTCAAGCTGAGCAATGACTGGCGAGGGGAATGACCTTCCATCTCTGGTGTCACCAGCATGGCCTCTGCTCAGTGAAAAATGCCCAGTATAGGTTTCCCAGAAGGAACTGCAGTACTGGATGTGAAGGGGAAGCTTTCCTGCATGTCCTGGTCAAGAGGACCATGGTGGTGGGAGGGCAGGTGGTTGTGGGCTTCCTGGTCCTACGGAGACTGTTTTAGGGAGGCCCGCTCTGTGTGTGTTGGCTGAACTGTGGCTTATAGCCTGTTCCTGTGCTTCTAGACTTTCCTGGGGGCCTCTGCTTGGCGGACATTCCTGTGGTCACCTGCCTTCCCCAAGCATCAAACAGGCAGGGAGTAGAGAGCTCTACAGGGACCGCTGTCAAAGCCGGGTGCTCTGATGGCCTCAGAAGGGGCAGGAAGAACAGAGCAGACACATATGATGGGCCCAGAAGGATCTGGTGAATCAAGGAAGGAAAATCAGTTTCCTTCTCTACCTCCTGAGCGAAAGCAACATTCAGGTGTTAATTTCCTGCTAATTGTCCGTGTGTCCCAATTTCACCCCCTGGAGGCCATGAGCAGGCATGAGCCCATGTCAGGGGCTGCATCAGGGATGCTGACCTGGCTCCAGAGGGTGTGAGCTGGCCCTGAGCCCTGGACCGAGGTGGGCTCTGACCTCCAGACTGCAGGGTCCCATCAGCCTTTCTCCTGGTCACTGCAGGTTTCCAGGCTGCCCGACTCTATCCCAGTGCAGGATGAGCTCAGGAGGAGGACAGGCATTGTCCAGTGGACTCCCGATCCAGTGTCCTGTACGAATTAGTGTATGTGCTGCCTTGGGAGGAGCTCTTTGATGCTGAAGTTTCAAAGGAAGTACCCAGTGAGTTATGTCTTGAGGTCTCAAGGCACCCTGGGTAGTCTCAAGGCCTGGGACATTGCATCTGAGTCATTTCTTCCCTGCCTTTAGTCTTCTCTAGCTCTCCCCACAGAGGCCAGGGCCTGGAGCAGCTCCATGTGAAGACCCAGCAATGAATTCCATGGGTTCCTCTGTTATAGGAGGGGAGGCCCCTGTGCAACCCTCAGCCCCTCAGAGGTGGAAAGAGACGTGTCTTGCAGTGCCTATCCTCTTCTGGGTGGCAAATTACCTTGTTAAGTTATATAGTTTTGGCTGGTGAGATGTCTTCAGGGGACCACAGCCATGTGTCCCTACAGACCAGGGACCCTGAGGACAGGGACTCACCCATGACTTCCTTTGTGATCAGGATTGGGCTCTTACTTCCCTGGTAGTAACTTTACCTGGGGTGGAGAATCCACATTTTGTGTCGATTCCAGTCTCTGTGAGAAGGGGAAGGACACAGGCTATTGAGAAGTCACTCAAAAGGTAGAGATAGGGAGAGGGTGTGATTCTCTGGGACAAGTGGTGATCCAACCTCCCACTGTTAGGAGGCCTCTGTCCTCCCTTGTGACTCTACCAAGGGTAAAGGACCAGTCACAGGCACTTGGCCTCCTCTCATGATGATTCAAGTGTCCTTGTGCCTACACTGAGTGTGCTCTGACACCCAGGTGTCACAGAGTAGTAACAGGCTTCTCTTGTGTGGTTTGCCTCACCCATTATACCAGGATGCAGTTGACCTTCACTCCAAAAATGAGGACTCTTGGAGGATCGGGTTGGGAGGTATAGGAATAAAGGTCTTGGTTGTGGACATGTAACACCGGAGGTGATCCATCATATCCAGGATTGAAATTCCAGATTGGCTCAACTAATTATCCTTCTAAACCCTTGAAAAATATGTGAAAGCCTGAGAAATTCCTGGAATCTCTGACCAAAGATTCACATACGTGAGATGTGGAAGAATGAAGTGGTTCTTGCGAAATGCAGCTGGAGCCTATCCTAGCTCTCAGGGCCATAGAGCCAGTCAGTCTGAAGCTTGTCTCTACTGATAAACTGCAGTGGTGCTGTGGCCCAAGACCAGTGCACCATCTTGATTTCCCAGTTTTTTCTTCCAGGAAGTAGAGAGAGCTTCTTTAGCAAGGTGAATCTCCAGTCCTGATTTTGAGGATCTTTCTAGAAACTGCCACTTGAATCTGCTTCCTAATATATAAGAAAGAAATAAAAATAAATTTAAATAAGTAACAGTTCTCTAAAAAAGGAAGACAGGTCTTTTATGGACTGGTGATGGGTCATGATTTGAAGATTATGATTTTTTTAATCCCATGCCCCTGATGTCAAAAAAACAAACAGAGAGGAAAAAGTCAGTCCTCATCATATGTCATATTGACAAAGACCTAGGATGTTACAGCTTCCTGGAAGACTCTTAATCAGGTGTGTGAGGCTTGCCCAGAGGGGGCATATATTTTTTAAGGGGATGACCTTCAAACCCAAGAATAGTCTAACTTGTCACACAGCCCACTGTAGCTGGAATAATGAAATTGTTATTCTGTTCCTGATATTCACACTGTGAGCAAAACCAGTCCTGTCTCCCACCTGTTGGATGTTCTCTTTCTTGTATTTGTGACAACACTGGACTTGGCCATGATAACTCCAGGGTCTCTGAATGTTCTGTTCAGAGTGATCACAGGAAGGTTTGGCTTCTCCTGTCTGGAACACAATGAGGAAATCTGCCCCAAACAGCAGCAGCTCCTCTGGGTGGAACCAAAGTCATCTCTGAACAACATGCTCTGAGGCTACTTACTGATTTTCACTCCCAGGCAGTATCTAAGGTCTTTGCTCTTGGAAGATAAGGACTCAACGCCTTTCTTCCCCATTATCATAAGACACCTCCTTTCCATCGCCATCGCTTCAGTGTTTCCCTAAGACCAACAGTCAGTGTGGACATTACTTCTATATAATGCTGTTTAATGCTATTCAAATCACTATGTGATTTCTTTTGTCCCCCATTGGATGTGGAGTCCAGAATTTGAATCTCTACAGCCCTTCAGGCCTGGAGAACCTTCCCTCTACGTGTTAAAGAGCTGGGAGTGGGCGCAGGGACAGCTAGGGACATATAATGACACAACAAGAGTAGAAAAAGCCAAATTCCTCCTCATCTCTCTTCACAACCCTCCAGTTTCTCCTGTGGTGGTGCCAGCCTCTCATGGCCAAATGTGGAAGTGCACCTACAAATAGGGTCAAACCTTTTTTTCTGAAGGGGTTCCATGCACCCATGGTCACTTGCTACATAAACTGCATGACTCCGTGTAAAGTGAAAATCAGGGCTATTTGTTCAAAATCATGAAGAATGTCAAGATGGTGAAAGTGGAGCATTAAACGTACACCAGGCCATTCTAACTCATTGCACTCATTGCATACATTGTGAACCCAGAAAGCCAGCCCTGGCTAGCAGAGAAAACGGATGAATTCATCCTCCAAGTCAATTCCAAGTCAACTCAAACCATAAAAAGCCTACAAACCCACAGCTAATATCATACTGAATGATGAGAACTAGAAGATCTCCTGCTAATTATGAACAAGAAATAGCAAGTATTCTTTATGCTTTAGTACGACACGTGCTCCAAAGAGTGGAAGTAGATGTCTGCTGATATTGTTGATAGAAGACAATCAGTGTTGTCATTGTCAGTGTTGACAATGACATCAGTGACAGGATCAGCTCTGGTAGTCGCCAATTTAAGCCAAGTGTGAGAGTTCCAAGGGCGGCAGGACCATCCACATCTGTGACCATTCATTGACCTGCTACAACTACAAAAGTTTTTGGACTCCAATAGTCTGGCGCATGCTGGACACACCCTCCAGAGGAAAGGACAACTTCCTTCAAACATACCTCAATCCAACCCATGTTAGAAGGATGAAAGGTGCTTTGTGGAGCCTCTGGCAGGATCTAATTAGAGAATTCCATGCAGACTCCTAGGGTTCTGAGCAAGACCATGCCTTCTACAACATTAGAAAAAGAGCTTCTGATCTGCTCCTAGGCCTCAGGAGAGATGGAACATCTGAACATGGGATGTAATGTGACCAGGGAGCCAGAACTCCTCATCATGACCTAGGTTCTATCACACCCACTAACATAAGCTCATATGGGGAGAGCAGATGCATCATAAATGGAAGTGGTACCTCCTAGATTAGAGGAGGAC